ATCAAAACTTAAAATTAGTAGGAAAAAAGGAACTGTTGGGATCAGTCCCAGCTCATCCTGGCACTTACTGAAATGGAAGTATCTAGTGTGCAGGGTCCTACTGGGTTTATCTTTGTTCCCACACAATCTGTCACATGGTAAGTGGTCAACATACTTTAACTTAGCAAGTAAGTAAGCAAGCACATTATCCATTATCGTCTTAAACGTAGGAAATGACAATGAGTGTGTTGGCTTTCACTGTCCAAGTCTAGCTCAGCTGTGAGAGCATGGGGTTGCCCTGACACTGATAAAGCCATGGAAGACTGCTGGTGGACATTTCCGTGCCATCAGGCAGGCTCGGTAACAGTCTACAAAGGCAGCAGCTGGGTCACCTCCAGCTTTAGAAGAGATAAAAAGGCATATCTGGAGAAATAACTTCTGGGAAATGGAATCTTTATACATATTAAAATAGCTATCTTTTCCCTCCCAACAATTAGGTTCTTAATTGAACACTGGGTATTTCTTAAGTGTCAAGGGAGTGCGGGTGGTTTAGTCTATAGAGGTTTGGACTGCTAACCTAATGGCCAGGCTTCTCTGGCTGTTTAAATCCACCTGCTGCTCCACAAGAAAAAGACAGGTAATCTTCTTCCCTTCAATTTATAGCCTCTGTAACTCAAAGGTGAGTCAGCTAGCTATAAGTCAAAATCAACTCAGCATAGTTGTAGTACATTTACACCATGGAATAATATGGAGCACGCACGAGCAATGGTTTTGTAAATTACTCCCTAAATTGGGAAGGACTGGAAAGCATTATGTTGAATCTGTCCCCTAAGTCCATATGGAAAAATACTGTATAAAACTGTTATTGTAGAAAGAGGATAAGGTTCCAAGGGGGTGAAGGGTGGAAGCAGAGGGGTGGGGTGGTAATCATAGGACTGTAAAATTTGATGGGGGTGATGGTGAGGGAAATGTGAAGGATCTTGTATGAAAAACAATATATACAAACTTTGTAAATAAGTAAGTATAAAATTAAAAAAACCCAATTCAATAGCAATGAGTATGAGTTTTTTAGGTGCCAGTGATCATGGAGCACAGAAGCATTTGCTTCATCCTCAGACCTTAGTAAGAGGCTGCCATACCGGTTTCTGGTTCTGTAAAGGCTGGAAGGGCTGCTCTATACCCCCTAGACAAAGCACATGCTTCCCCCCCACCCCCACCCCATGCACAGTGCTGGCACTCACTGGAAGAGAGCAGACTGTTCAGGTTCTGGAACTTAGCCCTCGTCTGCTCACTAGCTATTCACTGACACCCAAGTCAAATGCTGTCAAAATAATAAATCCCATTAGCATCAAATTGATTCTGACCCATGTTGACATCATGTGTTTAACAGTAGAACTCTTCCAAACGGTTTTCAGTGGCTGTGATCTTTTGGAAGTAGACTGAGGAACAAGTACGACACCTATAGGCGGACTTGAACAAGCAATCTCTCAGTAAGGAGTTGAGCATTTAACTATTTACGCTACCGAATACAGGAATATTTTTGTCATGGTACTAGGGATATTGTAGCTGATGTTAGATGGATCTTAGCTGAAAGCAGAGAATACCAGAAGAATGTCTATCTGTGTTTCACTGATTATGCAAAGGCATTTGACTGAGTGGATCATAACAAACTGTGGCTGACTCTGAGAAGAATGGGAATCTCAAAACATTTAATCGTGCTAATGCAAAACCTATACTTGGACCAAGAGGCAGTCATCTGAACAGAGCAGGGCAACACTGCATGGTTCAAAATTGGGAAGGGTGTACGCCAGGGATGTGTCCTATCTCCATACCTTTTCAACCTGTATGCAGAGCAGATTATCCGAGAGGCTGGGTTCTATGAGGAGAAGTGTGGCGTTAGGATTGGTGGATGATCTATCAAGAATCTCCGTTATGCAGATGACACAACTTTGCTCGCTGAAACTGAGGAGGACCTCATGTACTTACTGCAGAGGGTCAAGAACTGCAGCCTTCAATATGGACTGAGGCTCAATGTCAAGAAGACAAAAATTCTCACCACTGGACCAATCGGTAGCATCAGGATGGATGGCGAAGAGATTGAGATTGTTCACAGCTTCAGTTTGCTCCGCTCCATGGTCAACACTCTTGGCACCAGTAGCCAGGAAATCAAAAAAACGTATTGCGATGGGAAAGTCTGTGGTTAGGGACCTCTCTAAAGTACTCAAGAGCAATGGTGTATCTCTGGAGATTAAGGTGCGCCTGATACAGGCCATGGTTTTTGCAATCACTTGTTATGCAGCAGAGAGTTGGACAATGACTAGGGAGGATAGAAGGAGAATTGACGCCTTTGAGCTGTGGTGCTAGAGAAGAGTATTGAATGTACCATGGACTGCCAAGAAAACAAACAGATTCATCCTAGAGAGGGTTAAACCAGGCTGTTCCTTGGAGGCAAGGATTCTGGGGCTTCACCTGACATACTTTGGGCATATTGTAAAGAGAGACAGGTCTTTAGAGAGGGACATCATGCTGGGTAGAGTAGAGGGACAGCGCAGGAGGGGAAGACCCTCTATGAGGTGGATTGATTCAGTGACTGGGGTAATCGGGATGGATGTGTCGGAGGCAGTGAGATTGGCACAGGATAGAGCAGGGTTTCGGGCTGTTGCCCATAGGGTCGCTATGAGTCGCAAGCGACTTGACGGCAAATAACAACAACAACAATACAGGGATGATATTTAACCAGTGGATAAAGGAGAACAGCATGGTGGGTCCAGCACGTCGGAGCACAGAAATGTGAGCCTTCAGGATCTATCCAGAAGAAAGCTAAAAACCAAACGGTACCCTGGAGGAATTGAGTGTGGCAGTGAAAGGAAAGAGCAATTTGGGGCAATAACTTGGACACAAGACATGGCAGACATACACTGATGACACTGAGCGCCACCGAGTGAATTTTCAACTCATCATGACACTATGTGGCATAAGAGAACTACCTTCTATGTTTTTCTACACTGTAGTCTCCACAGTGGTAGATTATCAGGTGTTTTAATCACATCTACTGTGTGCACATTGGAAATGTCAACCGTTGTACCACCAGGGCTCCTTCTGGATCCAAATAACAACTAAATGCGTTGTCATCCAATCAGAACTGATTCCTAGCTCTGTAAGGTTTTCAGAGGCTCTACATTACATGGGAGGAGACTGACTGAGCATCCTAACCTCCTGCCTTCAGTTTAGAAGCAAAGCTCCCTATCCACTGGCCACCAGACCTCCCTTCTGTGGCCAATACAACAGAAGGACTTCCTAGACCCTCATAATCTTATATTGTCCTGTAATGTTTTTTTAACAAGCGACTCTTGAAATGCTTCCCGCTCTGCTCCCAACGATAAGAATCAAATGTCTATTGTTATCAGGATGAGAAGTTCAACAGGGTTGATTAGATTCTCAATTTATTTCCTTTGGTTGAGTCAGCAGTAGGTAATACTGCAGACAGAATTCTCCATAAGTTGTTCTAAGGAGGGAATAGGACAGATGACGAGCACAGAAAATCAAGACAAATTGAAATCTTAAAACTTGGAGATCCTTAAACCAGAGAGTCCCTGTGTGGTACTCACAATTGACTGTTAAACAAAATGTTGGAGGTTCAAATATGCTTCGAAGACAGTGGTGCACATTTACGTAAAAAAAAAAAAAAAAGAAATTGAAAGCCCTTATACATATTAGTCAGACCTATCTGATAGCAGTTTATAAAAACCAGATCGATACAATCTACCAGGTTAGATTTCTATTGTTTGAATGCAAAAATGCCTCCATTCCAGTTTGTGAGTATAGTATTTTCTGTAGGTAATACAACCAACATAAATATTGCATACATGTATATACTATGCATATAAAATTAAGGAGGATTTTCCCCAGTTCAAGGTGTAAGAAGTATAATATGCATGTTGTTTCCATAAACTATGGAAATGATTCCTTACCTGTCCAGAAGGGTCCCCCTTCATTCCCACCAGGGGATGGTGAGATCTGCTGTGCCTGGCCAAACCGACTCCAAATCTCAGTATATTTCCTTACTAAGTTCAAATGATCTAGTTTAGCTCAGCAGCACTCATAATCATTTCAACTCTGTACATAACCCACTTTGGAATTCACCCACTAGATTCTTTCCCATTAATCATTTCAGGCCAATGTTTTAAGCTTTCAAGCAGGTGACTGGATAGTTATACTTTTACGGTAATACCAAACAGGGTATTTTTTTACAGCCATAAATAAGCATTCTACTCTAGTGTACACATTATTAAGCCTACGAGGAAGATATATGCTATTAACACTATGGATGTTGGAAGAAAAGGATATTAAAGTAAGCTCAACTCTGCAAGACAGTAGGGTTAACAGGTTTAAGCCAAATTATACCAGTGGGTGCAAAGCAAAAAAAATATTGTGGCCTTCAGTTTCTGGGTATCCTCTCCTAAATTTTGCAGTGTAAGTAAGACAAAGCATAATAAGCACATCACAGAAAACATTCTTTATCATACCAGCCCATTTTCTTCAGTGGCTCTTTCTTTATTAGAGAAAGTATTCCACACAACTGAAGCAACCAGAAGCAAGAGGATGTCATTAAAGTGGTCATTCTTTATCTTTACAGACAAAAATTATGCTGAAAGAAAGAGAGGAACATGATCTACTGGTAGGCAATACACTTAAATTTTAAAAATGAACTCAATCGCTCTTTTTTCTAAGCAGAGTATTAAAAGCAAGCTGGCTTTAATATATCTTCATTTTCATAATATTTAAAATTCAGCTATTACACCCATAAATTTCTCCCTTCCAATAGATTTTCATAATGCTTATCCTCAGAGCAGACAAGCAGAAATATGTACACCGGGGACTGTGGCCAAAGGGTGTTAGGTGACTGTGAGGAAAGTGTGGAGCCGCCAGTTCCCTGGGCATTGTTTGGGTTGGTTGGGCACAACCTCAGAAGCTGCATCTCTGCCAACCATCACACCCCCATGGGAAGCAGAGGTACTTACGCAGCTCGCCCACTTTCAGTATCTCACACAGCATCTTGGTCAGCTCTATACTGCTGCGGCCAAAGGGACATTCATGCTTGTCTTCTCGGCTGCTGTTCTCAAGCACAATCTGCGGTGGGAGAGGGAACAGGTTAGAGTTTGTGGAAATGTCAAAAGGATCAACTCTATTCTACTAGCGAAGTCCTGTCACAGAGTCCCAAGCTAAGGCTGATAAAGATGGATCAAAATTTGACTCAAATTTCATTGGACTATAAAAGCTACATGCATGTTTTCCAAATCTGCGATTCTCTTTTATATTTTGCTTGTTTGAAATAATTTTCATAGAATTATATATGTTGTTGATGCTGCGTACAGTCGAGTCAGAACTGACCCATAACTAACCCTGCACCAGGTTTTCAGAGGCACAAGACTGCCCGTCTCCATCTCTTGTAGAGAAACTGATGGCCTCTTTGTGCCTTTATGACTGCAGTGTAGCTTCTTGCCACTAGGCCACCAAAGCTCCCTACAATTATATATATTAATAAAAAAAATTCTCCAGAATTATATGTTGTTGTTAAGTACCGTCGAGTTGCAGGCGACTCATAGTGACGCTATGAAGGAGAGTCCTCGATGCTTGGGTGCCTTTCATCCTTTCTCTAGGTTCATAGCGTTTCCGAAGGCAAGCTATCATGGAAGTGGATGCCACTCCTCCTTCCAAGCTTGTTTCAATCGGGGAGCTCTACCCAACACTCTCTGTCTGCACTGGGTAGATGGCTGGCTGTATGCAAATCAAATTTTTTTGTTAATTTTTTCCTTTTTTTTTAAATAGCATTCCGTTTATTACAAATATTTAGTACTGGCTTCCCATATTTTCCCCCTTTTGTTTTTATCATACTTATGTTATCATCTAGATGAGCAGCAAATCAATTATTTTTAAAAAGTGGAGGGGGATGGAAAAAAATGTATGGTATAAAATGAACACTGGTTACTGTAGACTGTGTTATTCCACCTTCATCCAGTACTTGACTGTAAGTACTAAAAAAGGAAGATCTGACTTGAAGATAAGCTTGTTAAGAGTAGAATCTGGTAGTGGGTTTTAGAGCTTGGGCAAGGGGAAAGGCTGAGGTCCAACTCTGAAGAGATTTGCATGTGAATTGATTTGTGGACCCACATTACTTTTAATTGAAGACATTCACATTCAAAAGAAAGGTAACCAGGAAAAGAGAGAAGGGAAAAGAAATAAGAAAAGGAAGAAACTGTCTTTTGAACAGAATTATATACGGAGAAGTTTTTTCTTTTTAATTAATATTTTTAATCATTCATTGACACTGTGTTTCATACAGTCCTTCCTTTACATTATATTTCATACATTTATATTGTGTGGCTCTTTTTGTTTCCCTTACAATCATCCCACCAACTACTTTTGTGAAAGCACATAAGCACGTTAATTCATACCTCATGCCCTAATATCCCCCTTTTAGATAGCCAATTGCTGATCTGCCATCTCTATCAAACCAACACTTTGAGAAAACAAGCACTTTTCTTTTGCTGAAGGATCCTCTGTTCAGCTTGGAAACTTTGAGCATCTGCATTCACAAACAAAGTCCAATCCAGAGCAAACCATCAGGTTACAGCAATCAACCTGAGTTCGCAGCATGAATCATCTTCTCTATCTGGTTGGGTTCTGGTCATCTCATCCCAGTCACCTGTGGCTAGGTTTAAATGAGCATCAGCTGCAAGCTCTGGAGTTCACACTTCTGCGTTCCAGACTTGGTCCCTAACCAAGACTCATCCCTAACATCCACATGGGGTCAAGTCCAGTCAACAGTCCTCAAGACTCCCTGCTCCTCAAGCCAACCACCCTTTGCTGCTCATCTGTAGACAGTAGGTGGGTAGTGCTTAGGGAACATGTGCAAGCTCACCCTGTTTCTCCGTTGTTGTATTCCTCCCTCTTCCACTCCCGAGGATCCAAGTGATTGAGAATACATGAGCAAACCCCAACCTCAGGTCTTGGAGATAGGGTCTGATGGGCACCAACTTTATCCTGCCTCTGAAGCCAATCAGTTTGCTCCAGTTATAAAAAGACAGTTTCCACCTACCCTTTTTGCTTTTCCCTTCTCACCTTTTCTGTTTGCCCTTCTTTCAAAGGGAAATCTCTTCTATCAATAGTCCAATGGGAGTCCACAAATGCATTGAAATGCAGATCTCCTCAAGGGCTGGGTGGGGAATCAATCTTTCCCCTTGACAATGTCCCAACCTCCACTATACTTTTCTACTTAAAAGACTGCACTGAAATTGTAAAACAAATATTGGACTGTTGTTGTTAGGTTCCACTGAGTGAACTAAAACACATAGCAACCTGATGAACAACAGATTAGAACCTTGCCCTATCCTGTTCCATGCTCACCAGCTCTCATAGACTCTAGCCCACTGTTAAGAGTCACTGTGTCGATCCACCTTGTTGAGGGTCATCTTTTCTTTCTCTGACTTATCACCTTTCTCAACAAAATGTCGTTTTTCCAAAGACTGGTCCCCCTTCCTTTCTCAGTATTAGCCATGATTTTTATGATCCACACAGTCAAATGCCTTTGTATAGTGAATAGCACACAAATAGACATTTTTCTGCTATTTTCTGCTTTAAGCAAGGATCCATTTGACATTGGCAATGATATCCTGGTACCATGGCCTCTTCTAAACCCAGCTTGAACTTGCGGCAGTTGTATATCAATGTACAGTTTTAGTTATTTTTTGAGTTATCTTCAGCAATGTTGTGTTTGCATGTGTTATCAGTGACTTTGTTCCATAATTAGCACATTCTGTTTGATCCCCTTTCTTGGGAATGGGAACAAATACAGATCTCTTCCAGTTAGTTGGGCAGGCAACTGTCCTCTAAATTTCCTGGCATAAGCTAGTGAACATGTCCAGGGCTACATCTGTCAACTGTATTCTATCCACTTCTGGGGCCTTATTTTTTGTCAGTGCCTTCAGTGAAGCTTGAACTTCATCCTTTGTTACTATGTTTTTGTGCACTTGGTACTTCTGAGAAGTCTATACCTATATTAAGAAGCTATTGTCTGAACGGAGAAAGGGAAAACTTCATGGTTTAAAATCAGGAAAGTTGTAGATCAGGGATATATCCTTTTTCCGTACTTGTTCAATCTGTTTGCATAGCAAATAGTCCATAAAGCAGGACTATATGAAAAGTAATATGGCATCAGGATCAGAGGAATACTCACTGAAGGAAGACAGTAGAGATTATGCAGATGACACAATCTTGCTTCCTGAAAGTGAGGAAGATATAAAATGCTTGCTTGCAGAAGATCAAGGGCTACAGCCTTAAATACAAATTATATCTAAACATCAAGAAAACAAAGGTCCTTATCACAGGACCAACAGTCAACAATATGATAGATGGAGAAAGGACTGAAGCTGTCTATGATTTCAACTTAGATCAGGATCTAACATTCAACACCCTTGGTACCAGCAGTCAGGAAATTAGGAGATGCATTTCATGGGAATTACTTGGGAAAGTCCACTTTCAGGGACCTCTCCAAAATGCTGAAGAGCAATGATGTTAGCTTGAAGACTAAGGTGTACCACTTTCAGGGACCTCTCCAAAATGCTGAAGAGCAATGATGTTAGCTTGAAGACTAAGGTGTACTTGGTTCAGGCCATGGTCTTCTCAATCACTTGCTATACAACAGAGAACTGGGCAATAAATAAGGATGACAGAAGAATAATTAATATAGTTGAGTTTGGGTATTAGAGAAGAGTACTAAAGTAACTGCCAAGAGTACATGCAGTTAGATTTTAGAAAATGTAGCCAAACTCCTCCTGAGAGGCAAATATGGGGAAGCTTCCTTTTTCACACTTTGGATATGTAGCTAGATGAGTCTATTCCTTGGAAAGGGTAACTCATGGCTGGAGAGATAGTGGGTAGGCAAAGAAGAAGATCTCCAAAAAGATGGATTTACACAGTGACTTCAGCAATGGACTCACAGATGATGAGGATGACAGAGGATAGAGCAGGGTTCAGGTCAGCTATTCGTAGAGTCACTATGAGTCATACTTAACTTGACAGCACACAACAACAGCAGCAAAAGGAGTCCATCCCAATAGTATTCCCAAAGTATGTGAGATGAAGCTTCACCAATCTTGCCTCTAAGGAGCACCCTGGTTGCACCTCCTCCAAGGTAGACTTGGTTGTTCTTCTGGCACTTCATAAGGTATTCAGTACTATTCTCCAGTACCACAATTCAAATGCATTGATTTTTCTCTATTACTCCTTATTCACTACCCAACTTTCAAATGCACAGGAAGTAACTGAAAAGAACATAGATTGGATTAGATGCACCCTAGTCTTTAAACTGACATCACTGCTCTTTAGCACTTTACAGAAGTCCTTGACAACAAATTTTCCCAATGCAGCACATCTTTTGATGTCTTGACTACTGTTACCATGGGTATTGATAGTGAGTGAATCTCAGTAAAATATAATGATTAACAACTTAATCTTTTGTCCCTCTCATGATGTTGCCTATCATGATCTATCCTGTTTAGTGAGTGATGATTTCTTTTTTGGGGGGGAGTTTCTTGATGTTGAAATGCAATCCATATTGAAGACAGTAGTCTTAGTTCTTTCTCCATATGTGTTTCAAGTCTTCCTCACTTCTTTGTCTTGATAGTTCAGTTGTTCAATACCTTTCCTAAAAATCCTTTTGTCCTAATTTTCCTCTCTTCCCTTAAGCCAGTTTGACAAACTCTTATTTTCTACAAGTAAAGGAGTCATTCTGCAAACAAATTAAAAGCAAACCCAAAACAACAATAAAGCCCATTTCCAAGACATTAAATTTTAAATTTTCAATAACAGGAAGCTCTACACAAAGGAAAAATAGCCAAGGAGGCTCTTGTGTTATATGGAACCAGTTCTATATCCATCTCAGAAGCTGCCTCCAATTTTTTCTGGTAAGAGTTGTGATACATCCTCAATGGTCCAGCACTTCTGATATTTCCTAGCAACATCTACAAAGATGTGTAATGACATACTGTTTTGTTCTCCCACCTTAAGACTCTGAACTCTTGGGGCAAGGATTGTGGATATTGTATTTAATTAAACAATGTTACTGAATA